TTAGCGACATCTACCCTTGCCCAGAAAGAGACAAAAAATATCGTAGATCAACATCTTCACAAAACTGATTCCTAATTACAAGTCAAGTAACAATATTTCTTCATATATTCAAATATCTGACAGCATACTATTCTTTAAAGAGCTTCACAATTAGTTTCGATAAGTCTTATTTAGAATACACCCAGAAAAGAATGTTGAATATTTCTTAACTTATTGAGTCATTTTCAGAACACTTTCAGGAGACTTAAACTTAAATCTTCAATCCTAAGTGGACAAGAGCTTCCTTTCTTGCAGTTCTTCTGTTGTTGCAAAATGCAGGCTGGTGGAAACTCAAGCACGTGACTGCATCTTTTAGTCAGTGACCTCATAAAACTCAGAGGGAAAGACCTAAATTACATATGAAAACTGCCTATGATTTTTATCAAAACCTTCAGTAGAAAAGGGGTATTTATTCAATATAGCAGTAGTTCGTCTGAAGAAAGGATCTGTAACTCTACATCTCCCTAGACAGATGTTTGAATTTATGTTCAGTCTATTTAAACAATTTCAACTGCCTCCTAATGTTTTTCTATCATGATTAACTATGCTGCTGTAAATCTTGCTTAAATGTGTTGTTGGACAATTCTTAATGCTGAAAAAAAAAGGGTTTAGGTTTGCACAGCTATACCCAATTGAAACCACAGAGACCATAAGAACAAAAAAACATATCTCCTTTTTTTCTACTTCTCCAAGCACACAAGACACTAGGGAAGCTGAGCAGGGTCTGGTCCTTAGGAGCAGGAGTCAGAACATGAAGAAGTACTGATTAAATCAGAACAAGTGTTGTGAGGTTTTTTGTTTGGTTGGTTGGTTTGTTGTTGTTTTTTAAATACACCTAATTATTTTCATCTTTCCATATCTTTAGGAAAGGGCTTTATTTAATCTTTTTCATATGGACAAAGGTACAAAAGATTTTACAGTAATGATTGATGGACAGAATGTATCCTCCAATGTATACTCCAAGTCAATATTATCTTTGTAGCCTTTTCCAGAATGCACTTCCAGAGGTTATGAAAACATATCTTCTTACACCTTTTTAGCTTGCCTCATCCTGCTTGGAAAACTTCTATGATGTTTTTATTACTTTAATTTTCCAGACTAAATAAGGGATTGTAAGACAAACCATAAGACTCTTGAAGAAAAAGGACTTCTTGATTTTAAATCTCTTATAAAGAACCAGCATCTTTAATGCTGCCAATCTATATGAGATATATTTGTTTTAGATTTTTATTTGGCTATCACCATTAATGTTGTTTTTTCCACTGTCATACTCAATCTGCATGACACCAGCATGTCACCAACAGAACAGATGTCACTTCATTAAGGTCTTTTTGTTTTTGTGTTTGTTTTCTGTGCATTGTAATCAGTGATCTGGTCTTTCTTGACATGCTACAATTTTCTTGCAGCAATATAGGTGCTCTGATGGGGACAGGGTGACATAACCTGGAGTGACATCCAACAGACTGGCAATGATCTGCTAAAATATTTGAAACTGAAAAGAAAAATCTATCTCAGTCAGCTAAACAGCCTGAAGGATCAAAGGAAGCCAAGCAGTCTTCCGTCTGGAAAACCAAAGTTGTACAGTAAAATAGTACTTGGACTTGTTAATGGCTACTCGGATCACTAGCACCAATCATGCTGTAAAGATATTTAGGAGGTCATTAGAATAATGCTCTAATTTGTTCTAGCACTGTTTCAATAAACAGTTTAAAGTTGGTTAAAAACTACTTTATATATACATATATAAAAGCACAGGACTCAGGTCTTACAGTTTTACTTCAATTTGGGTATAAGATGGAGCTTCTCTTATAGTGCCTGACATTGAGTCACTTTCTAATAACATGCCTGCTGGTAGTAAGAGGCTCAAAATGCCATGTGTAGTTAAAATCTCTATTTGCAGATACATTGTCTAGCTTATTCATGCATAGAAGTCATTCTACCTTTTGACCTTTCTGCTGGACTGAACAAAATGAGTGAAGACGTATTCTAACAGTCTTTGAGTGAATTGTGCCTGCAGCTGAAATTGCCAGTGTCTTGTATTATTCACATTAATTTATTTGTAAAATACTTGGCCAAACCATTCCATTTTAGATATTTACTTACTTTTGTTCACATTTATAGTGAAGTTAAAAAATTAATGAAGCAGAAAATCAAAGCATTATAGCTCATTTTAATCAGATATAAAGTGTCAAAACTGCAATGCTTCAAGCAGGACTAAGTTTTAAAATGATAAAATTTTTGCCTAACAAATTAATTTTGTTCATCTGCCTAATTACTTTCTATAGCAAGAAATTACTGAAAACATAAGTGTAAGCCCATGTTTAAATCCATTGCTGAAGTAGGGCACAATTTTCAAGATTTTCTTCTTGGGATAAGAAGAAATACTATGGAAGTTTAATAATAAATAGAGCTAATAATAAAAAAGAGACTAGGGCATTTGAGAGATGCTACATGCCTTCACTCCTTGATCTCTTCGGGAGCTGAAAGTATCCAAAAGTCTTCTGGACTGAGTCATGCCTGCTGAAGTCTGACCTCATTCAAAAAGATCTGTTTTCACTGATACTTTAAAAGCCTGGAGTACCTGTCAGAGCTCTTGCTGGAAGCTGGCATATGTTAGCAAAAACTCTCTGGAGGCTGGAAAAACTCCGTAGGTTATAAGGAGTTATCAAGAAGTTGCAATTAAGTTAAGCATGACATTGACAGACACAAGAAGAACAGCATATCATTCAGAAATTATTAAAAAGTCAGGTAAATGAGCTAAGGATCTGAAAAAGCATAAAAAGGCAAGTCATAAATACAGCTAATCAAAGAGGATACCAAAGAAATTAATGGTCAAATTCAGAGATTACTTTGAAGAACACAGGTGTGGAGCAGAGAGAACAGGCACACATGAGAAACACTGTGGAGCCACAAAATGTGAACGTAGAAAATGGCAGAGGAACAGGTCGCTCTGTGGTGCTGAGTATAACAAAGGATGTGAAGGTAAGCCCCGGGCAGGTTATTGCTGCTGCAGCTTTCACAGACTCAGTCATGTACCAGGACAGTGCTGACAAAGCAGTATCAGGAGACTCACAGAATCAGTCAGGTTGGAAAAGACCTCTGGGATCATTGGGTCCAACTTATGACACAACACCAAGCCAACTAGACCATGGCACTGAGTGCTACATCCAGTCTTTCCTTAAACACCTCCATGGACAGTGATTACACTATCTCCCTGGGCAGCCCATTGCAAAGTCTAATGACCCTTTCTGTAAAGAATTTCCTCCTAATGTCTAACCTAAACCTCCTCTTGCACAGCTTAAGACTGTAGCCTCTTGTCCTGTCACTAGTTGCCTGACTTCTATCTGCCTACAACATCCTTTCAGGTAGTTGAATTTGCTAATTCATGGCAATCTGCAAATAAAGCTGATTAATGAGTGTCTATGAAAGTAAGTAATGTAACTATTTCAGATAAACATGTAACGTGGTAGCAATGGAAGTGCTCTACTACCTGGTGCCCCCCAGTAGGTTTTTGTGATCTTTATGAGCAACTCGAATGTCTTGGTTAGTGAAGCCATTACCTGCCTTATGCATTCTGTGTGAATAAATGTGCACACAGAGCTGGTAGAACATGAATAGTCACATGAAGGTTTCATCTAACTATAATGTTTTTCACAGAAATCATAAAAAAATTAGGCTTGACACTTTTGAGACTATTCATCTGTATTTCATCACTTCATGGAATTCTACTTTCAAACAATATCACTTGTGCATGACACTTAATTTATTAGAGATACTACACAAAGAAACAAAATGAGAGTTTCTCTGTTACATATATATGCTTTGTGTAATTCTCTGCCTGCATATTCTGCATATATATAAAGCCACACACAGACAGAACTTGCAAATTCACTGTGCAATACATAGCCGATGGGCAACTCATTGATTTATAATGAGGCAGGGTAACACCAAGATGAAGGACCAGATGTTCCCCCGACACAGAAAAGTGCCCACAGAATCGACTGTCTCAGGGGTGAAAACAGCCCTACCATCTGCCATGGACTGATTCAGACTGCACTAGAACAGGGTGAAGCTCTGGAACACCTGCAACATATTGGTGATATAATTGTGTGGGGCAACACGGCAGAAGTTTCTGAGCAATGGAAGAAAACAATCTGAATCCTTCTGAAGGCTGGTTTTGCCATAAAACAAAGTAAGGTAAAGGGACCAGCACAGGAGATCCAGTTTTCAGGAATAAAATGGCAAGATGGGTGTTGTCAGATCCCAACGGACATTATTAATAAGATAACAGTGATGTCTCCACTAACAAACAAAAAAGAAACCAAGCTTGTTTAGGTGTTGTGGGGTTTTGGAGAATGCATATTCCAAATTACAGTTTAATTATAAGCCCTCTCTTTATAGCCTTAAGTTGCACCAAGGGATGTTTAGGTTGGACATCAGTAATTTCTTCACAGATAGAGTGATGAGACATTGGACTGGGCTGCCCAGGGAGATGGTGTAGTCACTTTCCCCGGAGGTGTTCAAGGAAAGACTGAATGTGGCACTCAGTGCCATGGTCTAGTTGACATGGTGGTGTTTGGTCAGAGGTTGGACTCGATGATCCCAGAGGTTTTTTCCAGCCTAAACTGATCCTGTGACTCCGCGAAAAGCCCCGTAAGAGGACCGATTTCAAATGGGGGTCGGAGGGCTCGGTGTCCCGTGGGGGAGCCAGTGTGGTGGTTCTCGCTGTGGGTGTAGAGTTAATGTCCTTCACAGTGGCTGGTATGGGGCTGTTTCGGTAAAGCTCTCGCGCAGCGCAGTGGCGGCTGCTGCCAGGACTCGCTCTGTCGCTCGAGATGGGGGATCCCAGCGCCGGCTGGGACCGAGCGGGGCCGCCGGGATCACCCGCCCGCTCCGTCCTGGGCTGGGAGCGCCGCGGGGGCGGGGCCGCCACGGCTGCGGTTTGTCCCTCGGCGGCCGCCGTAGCGGGCGCGCTTTCTGCCGCCGCGGGTTTTTGTAGCGCCATGAGCCTGTGGGCCGACAAGCACCGGCCCGGTGCCCTCAGCCGCCTCGACTTCCACCGCGAGCAGGCGGCGCGGCTCCGCAACCTGGTCAGTGAGGCAGGCATGGGTGCCCGGGGCCGCCGCGCTCCGGCGGCCTCCCCACCGGGAACTGCCCGCGGCCCTGCGGCCTCCGGGTCCTCTCCTCCCCGCAGGGAGGGTCCCTCGGGAGCTGGGATTCCGCCTCAGTATGGGGGAGAACTTCTCTACTGTGCGGGGGACCGCGCACTGGAACAGGCTGTCCAGAAAGGTTATGGAGTCTCCCTCACGGCGGATATCCAGGAACCATCTGGATGCAATGTGGTCTGGGATGGCCCTGCCTGAGCAGGGAGGTTGGATCAGATGAACCACTGGGGTCCCTTCCAGCTCTAGTAACCCTGGAGAACATGTAAATGCTGGGATGGGTTTTTTGAGGGTTTTGTTGTTTGTTGGTTTGTTTGGGGTAATTCTTTGTGGGATGAAGTGTTTGAAGTGAAAGAAGTTACACATGTTCTATAGGAAATGTTGCTGCAGGAAAGGGATTCAGCAATTTTAGGTCTATGTACTATGTTATCATGGAACTGGAAGAGTCATTTAACATAAACTTAGCTGAGAATGGAAGAATGCATACTCTCTTCTAAAGAAAATACTGTTATAACTAACTAATCTTGTTGCTTTTTGTTCAGGTTCAGTGTGGTGACTTTCCTCATCTGTTGGTGTATGGACCATCAGGAGCTGGAAAAAAGACAAGAATAATGTGCTTGTTAAGGGAATTGTATGGTGCAGGAGTGGAGAAACTGAGGATTGAACATCAGAGTATAACGGTAAAAAAAATAGGTCTCCCATCTGCTGTGAAGTAATATGGATATGCTGACAGGTCTCTGTTGTGAGCCTTTATATTCTTTTGAGTTTTAAAACTAATTTTTTTTCCCCACTCAGTATGTTAAAACTTTTTTATGTAATTAATCATACTGGTTTGGTTATATGAACAAGTTCTTGTTCCTTAGGTCTTCAGGATGTGGGGTTCTCTGCTTTCTGTGGCTGGTTGGCTGTTCTTATGTGTTATTTTGTTTGGGGTGGGGGTTTTAATTTGTTGTCTACAGGTTGGTTTGGACAGTAGCATCTGTCATGACAGACTAGTTCTGAATTAAATGTATAGAATTTAATTTGTCTGTAGAAATAAGGGTTATTTTTTAAATTCTTAGCGCTACTTTTTGCATATTTGCAAGTTTTACCTTGTTTTTCTCATTCTTGTAGTGGCAATTTCAGCATTAGCAAAAAAAAAATCAAATTTTATCTGCCCTGATCTTAGGCATTTATATATTACCTGTTAAAAATCCTTGCTGTAGGAGGCTTAACCAGCAAGGGATTATCAGGTTTCATTGATAAATAGGTTATTTAATGTTTTCTTTTTAATTCTCAGTGGTGGAATAAATAATATATTTAAACTTGATGATAGAAATGTAGAATATATTTAACTGTTCAGACCCAAATTTGGTGCTGCTATAAATAGTAATGTTTTCTTCAAACAGAGTAGAGACTTGAAATTCTTTGACTCCAAAACTTTGGATGGGCAGAGTGTCACTTATTTTGAACAACTGATGCCAGTAATGAACCTTCTTTTACAAAACTCTGGAGTAACTGGAGTATGCAGTAATACATAGCAGGTGTTGCTATAATAATCATTGTTGCTATTTTACAGGTGGATGATGTGTCAGTACTCCTTTTTTCCTTTGGAGGTGGGGTTGGAGGCATAGGAGATATGCAAGTCCAGTGTCTCAGCAGCTCTTTGACCTCTGAGACTCTTGGTTTGCCTGTTGTAGTCTGTAAGACAGATTTTTAGAACACTTCCTGAAACTTAACATGCTTACTTTCTATATAGGCACCTTCTAAAAAGAAGATTGAAATTAGCACCATTGCAAGTAACTATCACCTTGAAGTTAACCCAAGGTAAGTGTACAGTAAAAATGCCTCACTTCCAAGGTAAGCTAATGGTCATGTTGTAGGTGGTTTCAGCCTGGACATATGAGGGACTGATTGCCCAGTCTGTTGCCTGAGCAAATTAGATAATGGTTTATGGGTTTGATCTGCAAATGAGAACAGGGAGAGGATTTTTAATTGAACAACTCTAAATGAACAGAAATTGGGATTGCTGCATACTAAAGACACTAATGTTCTGCTTAACTAACCATGTAAGCATGCTCTTGTTGAGGACTGGGTAACAGAAACAATTCTGGATTCATAGACTTAACCATTTCAGTTGATATTGAGAAGTTTTATTGGAACTAACACCTCCATATTGTTAGTTCTCTCACAAGTACAAAACTATAAGAATTTGAAAGTAAGCAAGATTTGCCTGGTAACTATTCAAATAAAGCATTTAAAGTACAAGAAAGAACACCACCAAAAAATACTGTGAATCCTGTCTTGAGTGAGGTCAGATGTTGATTTAAACAACAGAAGCTGTAATGGTACTATGTGTCTTCTTTGGCAGTTGTGAAGTTGTAGTAGTGCACTGACTGATAGTTCATTGACCCAAAGTAAATACTCGTATTTACCTGAAACTTGTAACGTTGCTTTAAGTCACATAAGAGTGAATGTCATTGTGCACTGGGAGACCTTGGTTATGTTGGCTTTGTTGTCTGTGTTGCACTTGTGAGATAATGTGTACCCCGAAGTAACTTTGTGCTTACTGCTGAACCTTTGCTCATGCTGCTTTGCATTTTAGAAGCTATTCTCATGTGCCAGATCCCCTTAAAAATCTTGTTCTGCAGCTAAGCTGTGTATTGATTAGTGAATATCTGCTGGTGTTCTAAAACAGACACAAATAATTAATAGTTTATCAATAAAAGCTGAGAGTTTTATTGGTAGTTAACTGAATATGTCATTTTGATGGTATAAAATGTGTCACCATTAAGTCTTCTGCTCTGATAACCTGATACTGCTAATACTTCTTCTGTTACACTGCAGAGAGTACTTAGAGCTTGAAACATAGATTTCACAGAATATTCTGAATTGGAAGGGACCCAAGGGATCATTGAGTCCAGCTCTTAAGTGAATGGCCCATATGGGGATTGAACCCACAACCCTGGTGTTATTAGCACCGTGCTCTAAGCAACTAAGCTAATCTCATATAAAATAATCATATTTTACCTTAAATACAAAAATCCTGAAAGTGTAGAATTAGTGTAGTTGTTGTTGTACATAATAGTAGTTGTTGTAGATAATAGTAGTGCTGAGTTTTGATTAAGAATGAATATACTGATTCATAGGCTTTAAGTATCAAGCAACTGTCATGTTTTTGTCTGACCAGACAGTAAACCTGCCTGTGCTGTACTATCACCTGTGAAATTTGACTGAGTTCTAATACAGTGAAATGATGTTGTGCATCTTGAGTAACGTGGAATGTGATAAATGGCTAACAGGGAAAGAAAATGAATTTCTGGGAAGGACACTGCAGATGCTGACTGTGTTCTGAAACTTAAATTTAGTTAACTTTAGATAGAAATGTAATATTTAGCAGAAATGTTCTTCTTCCTTCAAAAGGAGGATATTGTCTGAATTCCAAAGTGTTGTCTTCTGGTCACTTGACTAGCTTGGGTAGATGCTTTAAAACGGGTTCTGCTGAATTAGTGCATCCTTAAAGAATAAGGAGCAATAAAAGTCTTGTCTGGTAACTGCCTTTGTTTGTTGTTTTCCTAGAATGTTTGATGTGGTCACATGATACCAAGGATAATCTTTTGCCATGAAATTATATCTCTGGGTTCTCTGTTGCTGCAGAAAATAATTTATATATTAGAACACTATTTTAATCACTTTCCATTTCTAACAGCTGGCATAGCTCATAAGTAGAACTGTAGTAGAAGGCTTGTTTCATTTTGATTACAGCACAAATACAAAAGCAAAGATCTGCTGCCTTGCTTAAGGACAGAGCTCTGCAGTCCAAGTCAGTGAAGCCCATGGAGCATTTTGTGAATTGTTGAGCTAATACGCCTTTCTTTGTTCTGCTGCCTTCTCCTTGGCAATAATGGAGAAGGTCTGGTTGAGTGGTGAAGAGAACAGCGCAGACAAATGTCTTTTTGTTTGCTTGTCAGTGAAATATAGCAGAGCTACTGCTGCTTCTGTGAAGGCTATTGTCTGGGATGCTAAATATAAATAGGCAGTGGTTTTTTTCCCTTTTTCTTTGTGTTTTTGGTGATCCACCTTGCAAGTCAGTAGTCCCCTCTGGTTGTCAAATCTGAGTCAAGCTAGCTGAGCTACTGTAACCTGGGGACTGAGAAAGCTGTGCAATGCTACTGTAGTGGCTAGGGAAGAGAAGGGGCAAGAGGAATTTCCCCATGTTTTACTGCCTTCCTAGAGGAAAAAAGCAGACCTAATGCTGTAATAGTATCTCAGTATCAGTATTTTACTAGTAACTTGTAACTTCAGTGTGTCTACCATCAAGTGTGCATTAAGAATTTAGGTTGTTCGTGGCATGACATCTAGTTTTTGATGGGGAAAAAAAAACCCCTGCTTTTGAGTCCATTGAGTGAGGCATCCTATTATGTTGTTAGACTTAATTGTTCTTTCCATAATGAGTGAAAGCGTTCACATTGTCTGTCTTTGTCCAGGTTATAGGTAACAAAAGTTTAGATTTCTTATCCCAGAAGAATAAGTTCTATTTTTATGAGTTAAGTTGACAATGGTTTCACTACTCTTCAACACAGTGCTACTAATCCAGCTGTGCCTGCATAAGCTTTGGGTTGTTCTTATTACTGGGAGGGTAACTTTCAACAAAGTATGTGTGTTGAGCTTAATTCTAACCCTAGCAGCTTCTGAATTTTGTTGTTGAGTCAGTTGATCAGCGGATTGGTTAGGGGGATATATTTTATATGCAATATAAAGTTGTTTTAAAACAAGATTTATTCAAACTCCTGTTACAGTGATGCGGGAAACAATGACCGTGTAGTAATTCAGGAGCTCTTGAAGACAGTAGCACAGTCCCAACAGCTTGAGACAAGTACTCAGCGAGATTTTAAAGGTGAGTAGAACAGTTAAAACCAGTGAAGGGCTTTTTAAACTTTGTATTTTTTTCACAAATTTTATCTCATTGTTTCATGCGTGTACCTTCATGCATTATGCAGGTAAAAACAAACCTATTCCCATTTAGAAGATTTTTATCCATAGTGTACAGAGGGACACTTGGTAAGAAAATGAAGAGACTTTAATTGAATTTTCCGAGATGCTTGTTTTTCCTCCCAATGACTAACTTGAAAGCAAAATCAGAACTATATAATGGGATTTTAGGAGAGAGGAAATCATGATAGATAGTAGAGCAGACATTAGCTGAAAATGTTCATGGATTTAGTACTTTGTCACATTTTCCTACTGTTCTGTCTTGCTGTTCACAGCAAGTACTGTTTCACCTGAGCTGCTAGACACTGATTGTCTCTGCCAGTTATTGATGTATATATCCTTACAGCTGCAGTTATACTATATACCTCAAAGTATCTTGTAAGCTGTCTGATATTGCTAGGCTGTGTGTATAACCAGAAGTGGAAGAAGAATAGTGGGATGACTTGTTCCTCCAGGCTCTGGACAATTTAGAGTATTGAAATGAGCCATCTATCAGTTGCCTATGGAGGAACCTGCAGAAGATAGCTGGTTAGGTTGGCTGCTTCGTATTAGGTGTCTCCTGATGGTTGTGAAGCATTTTTTAAATACATTTTTCTTTTTTTCTTTAAAACACCACAGAAAGGTACTGCAGCTACAATAATAAGGCAGCTTTTTACTATTCCTTTGTCAGGCTAAGACATTGGCTTGTAGATATAAAATGTATTGAGGCGAGTCTTCAAGTAATTTTTACTTTTTGTTATATCCTTATGCCATAACTTTTCCTCCATTTCTCACTTCAAAACTCCTATAAGAAGTTACTGTACTAGTTATCAGGGTGAAAGCTGCTACACCTATCTGGATTATTTCTTGGCACTGAAGCATTGCAGGCCCTGCTCTGAAGAAATGAACATTCCAGGATGTGAATATAGTGTGTGAAGGAGCAGATTGTACAGTCAAAAAAGGCACGCAGGTTATCTTAATCTTTATTTTCCTGCCTGTGGAATCATACTGCCGCCTTCTGCATATTATCATTTATTCTGGTATTATCACTTGTGTGTCAAAAGTATTTGTTTTCTTAGAAAGATTTGATATTAATACAAAACCCCACTCTTTTTAATCCTTTTTCCAGTGGTGCTGTTAACAGAAGTTGACAAACTCACTAAAGATGCTCAGCATGCTTTGCGAAGAACAATGGAGAAATACATGGCGACGTGCAGGTTGATCCTGTGCTGCAACTCCATGTCAAAAATTATAGGACCTATTCAAAGCAGATGCCTGGCTATACGAGTGCCTGCTCCCAGCATTGAAGATGTATGTTAAAATAGAAGCAAAAATAAATTATTTAAAAATCCTACTAGATAAGTTCTTGCTGTGGACTTAAGAGATATTTTACTTTCACATAGTGACCTAGCTTTTCTTTGTGGTGGGTGACTTGTCAAGCATGGCTTATGAAAGACTGGTCCATCTCTGGTCCAGGAATCTTTCTAACGGGAGAATCTGTAGTTGCTGAACGGTTTGCGAAGTGTTGTTCTCCCTGATATCTGTTTTCCATCCATCTAGATCTGCCATGTCTTGTCCAGTGTGTGTAAGAAAGAAGGCCTGACTCTTCCTCAGGAACTGGCTCAAAGGATTGCAGAGAAATCTGGCAGGAATCTTCGGAAAGCACTGCTTATGTGTGAGTGCTGCAGAGTACAACAGTAAGTCACCACAAAAATTAATGTAAATTATGCTGTCAGACACATGAATTACCTTACTTCTAAGGCCATGCTAGAATAGGTGACAATTTGCTCTGATATTAATTTTTAAAAAATTTATTACTATGTAGGTATCCTTTTACTGCTGATCAAGACATTCCTGAGATGGACTGGGAAGTTTACTTGAGAGAAACTGCAAATGCCATTGTTGGTCAACAGACACCACAAAGGTAGGTGAATGGACTTGTTTAGAGTTATAAATTATGTTTTTGGTGTGTTCTGGAACCTAAAAAAAAAAAAGTTGAATTTAAAAATGTGTCATCTTTAGTTATGTGTAATTTTCTTTTAATTCTACTGGAGATGGTACTTTGCAGCCAGAGGAAGTGAGCTTTAAAATTGCCAGAGGACACTGAATGAGTATCAGGAAACAAAAAGCTATTGCTTTTCCCTATTGAAGCTTAGTAATCAAAAGTGAGCATAGGCTTAGTTGCATGTTGTGTTTTCTGTCTTTTTTTTTTTTTTGGTGGGGGGCATGAAATGTCACTTAATTTAAATGCTTGTAGTGTCTGACCTCCTGGTACCAAAAACTGAGCATTGGTAACTGTGTCACTTTGGCCACCTAATAATCTTACCCCTTTTTATAAACAAGGAAACAGAAAAACAGCATAAAGGAATCCTGTGATGCTAATCAATTTTGATTGTGTCTCCTCAGTAATCTTAAGCATGAATAACAACTTAGATATGAAGAGGAATTAAAGGAACACAAGCCTGAGACAAATTCTAATAGCCTTGTAGCTTCCAGATTAACTGAGACCATTGTAACTAGAGTATATGTAATTTGTCTTTTGAGTAAAAGGTGATATGCAGCATTGAATTGAAATTGACTTGTGCAGTGCTTTTGGGTTTAAAATAACATGCAAAGCCAAAAGCAGAAAAGAAACTTTGCTTGGTTGACTTTTTCCTGAAACATGTTTCACAAATAGTGAAAATACATTAGAATGCGTTGGGGTCATACTTCTCATATTTTGTGGTGTCTTTCCCACAGGCTTTTAGAGGTCCGTGGACGGCTTTATGAACTCCTGACACATTGCATTCCTCCTGAGATTATAATGAAGGTAATTCAGCTGTCCAGCTCTTATTGTGTTATAAATATTAATGCTATGACAGTCCCAACTAGAGTTAAAAAAAACCAAAACACCAAAACATCACAAATTATTCGAATATTGATGGAAAGCTGTGTCCTTTCCAAATAGACATGAGTCACCATCCGTGGAGGTGTTCAAAAAACTAGTACACTTGGCACTTTGTGATATGGATTAGTAGACCTGATGGTATTTGATCAAAGGTTGTACTTGATCATCTTGGTCCTATTTTACAAACTTACTGACTATATGATTCTGTAGGCTATGATATGTTTTCATATCAAATCAAATATGATTTGTTTTTTAAAAGTTTTGTTGTTAGAAATTCAGTATTTGCTATGTCCTAGTGGAGAGATGTGCTGAGGTATGCTAGAGCAGCAGGCCTTTTCAAAGACAGAAGTCATCTTGAGAGGAAAAAAGCAAGTGGGATGTGTATGTTCGTATTTTTAGCATGATGAAAGGATGCTGAAGACATCTAGAGCAGAACAAAGATTAAAGATAATATTTGCAGCTTAACCTAGGTGGACTCTGCCTTCAGATACAATTTTTTTTTCACATTAACTGATTTCTGTTTTCTGACATTTTTGGTAGTTAGATGTTTCTTTAATCTTCATTTCTTATGGTAGGTTAGTGCATCCTGCATTGCTGTGTTGGGGAGGCAAAAGGTGCATATTCTCTACCCTCTCCTTTTTCATAAACTTGAAATGATCTAGAGATACTTCTCACTTAATCCTGACTGTTTTAGTACAGATGGATTTGGAATGATTTTATTGCTGTCTGTGATCTAAAATAATGCGTTTTGGGGTTTTGCAATGACTAAAGTATTGTGGTCAAGTTGTATTGTGTCTGCACATAAATATGTACATAAATATAAACAGATATACTTAAATTCTAAATAAGCCCTTTCCTTGTTTTTTTTTTTTATAAATGCTGTTTCTCTTTGTGCTTGATGCTGGCAAGATAGAAGTGGTTTTAATACACTTGCTATCTTGGTAAGAATTCTCCCCAAGGCCATGTGCCTCCATACAGTAGAGGTTACAGTATTTGGAGATGAGATTAATTTATTTTTGTTATTAAGGCATAAATAGTTCCAGTAAATTATTCTTGAATGTCTCTGCTGTTGGATTAATGAGTGAACTATTGTCATAGCTTGGCTATTTTCAGAGAAAGAAGGTTATCCTCCTAACAAAAAATGTCTGATTTTTCAAATACTGTCCTGTTTTTTCCTTTTTTCCCATTTTAGGGCCTCCTGACAGAACTTCTAAATAACTGTGATGGACAACTGAAAGGAGAAGTTGCACAGATGGCGGCCTTCTATGAACACCGCCTGCAACTGGGCAGCAAAGCCATTTATCATCTGGAAGCATTTGTTGCAAAGTTTATGGCAATTTACAAGAAGTTCATGGAGGACGGGCTAGATGACATGATGTTCTAACTGATACCCGAAGTTGTACACAGAATGTTGTGTCAAGATACCAATAATGTAGCAAATGCCTACTTGTCGGTGCTTGATTACATGTGGGTCTAGTTCTAAGTCAAATATTTTTATTTTACTGTTTAATAAAGCAGTGTTTGCTCAGCTTTAGAAACCAGATGGAGTGTTTGACAGCCACAAATCCATCTTTAGATCCATACAAAATACATTGGCCTTTCAGAAGGACAACACGTTGCCTTGGAAGATGTATAAGATCATAGTTGCTTTGCAGTATTTGTAAGCTGACATTAAGAAGAGAGAACACAGATGCTGCGTGCTTGGTTTTTGTTTGTTAATCACAGATGGGCAGGGCTGTAATAAAAAAATGCTTTTTCCATGTTGTGGTAAGTTCCAGCTTGAACATGTATTTCCTGCCTGCTGATCTATACATCTTATTGTTTGTCTGGCTTTTTTTTTTTTCCTTAGCCACATTGTTTTCTGTGGTGTGCTCACACAGAATGTTTTCTGACATTTTTTTCTTTGTAAGCAGTTGTGTTGAATTTGTGGATGAACAAACTTTTGTGTTGCTTGTAAATCGTGTTGACCACAGGGAACATCTTGTTTAGAAGAATTATACCTATATAAAGCAAGTCCACTTGCTGTCTGATACTTTCACCTCAACATACATAATACTGTTCAGGTAAAGGTTATTCCTTTAACTATTTTTTAACGAAGGATAAAGTTTTGGATTTTAACAAATATTTTTTCACCTATTAAATTGATATGTGACATTTTTAAAGTGGCAAAAATAAATTGTAGAAAATATGAACAAATGAAATGCTGAATTGGTGTTTTATACTGTCTGTGATATTCTTTGCTTTGACACAGACATCTTTCAGAAAGGTGGGATATCCCATGCATGCTCTGAGACTAAAGGGAGACACTGAAGTTTAAAAAATCCAAACAAATACAAGCAACAAGAAAAAGGAAAAACAAAAACCAACCTCCCAAAATAGTAATAATAATACTAGAAAGCCAACAACACCTGAAATGCTTCCCTGCTAAAACCAACCCCAAAAGCTAATGTGGGAGAACAGGAATGTATGTAGGGGGTTGTGAAATACAGTTGAAATGCACAGGGACTGTAGCTATGGAGGGTGGGGAGGCAGGAGCTGGATTGTAGGTTTGTTTGTCAGGGGAGAGACGCAGAGGAGCAACTTCTTGTTTCAAAAGGCCTCAGCAGCTTTGTTCAGGGAAACCCCAACATGAATCTCTCTCTAGGTGTTCTTGCTGCCTCCTGTTGAAGTTTCATTTTTATCCTGTTCTAACTGGAATAAATCAAGAGTACCCAAGGATGGAAAAAAGGGATAATGACCAGGGTTTTCAGGGTGAGAAAATAGCTGTTACTCTTCCTGAGAGCCAACATTTTCCGCTGGTGATCCTACTCCTGCCTCTTTGTCTTCCACAGTCTAGAACACAAATTTAAACACTTGGGCATGGTATCTCATAAGACTGCACGTCTTTCCTGCCTAGTAATTTTTCAGGAAATTTTGCCTTAGTATCCATCACAGGCTCCCTGGGAAGTGGTCATGCTCCCAAGCCTATCAGAGTTCAAGGAGTGTCTGGATGATGCTTTTCATCATATGTTTAGTTTTAGTTAGTCCTGTGAGGAGCAGGGAATTGAATTTGATGATCCTTAGGGGTCACTTCCACCTTGAGAGATTCTGTGATAATGATCAGTGCTTTTTGGGAACATTTTAAAGGCTAACTGCCTTGGATGCTGCTTCACCTCCCTTCTGGGTAGCTGCCTTAGAGGCAGTATGATTGAGAACTGAGGTCCTGGGCTGTGCTGGAGGAAGCAAGGGCCAGTAACCTCCTCCACCCTTGTGATGTGCACTGGCAAATGGCACTGATGGGAATGTATGAGCAGGGGGCTGTCAGAAATAAGGAGTCCTCTGCCTTTTTTTCCCCTCGTGGTACTCCCTTTTACCAAAAACCTTTTAACCAAAAATACAGAACTTTAGGCTGGCAAGCAAGGGTCTCCTGGGATGGGCACAGCTGTCTCTGCAGCCTAAAGCAGAATCATAGAATCATTTAGGTTTGAAAAGACCTCTAAGATCATCTAATCCAGCTGAGCCTGCACACACAGAGCCCAGTGACAGTTCTGTGCTGGACCTACACTGAGCGCTGCACACCTTCACAGGTCAAGTGGGAGCGGCAGTGCAGATAGACTTTTAAGCACTGAATAGCACAGGACCAACCTCTAGATGATCCGTTTCTTCAGCTGATTTCATCTTTTGAGACCTGCTTAGAATTGTTTCTGAATTGCATGCTGAGGGGATTGCCCTGGCTTTCATCCAGCAACACCTCCTGCTAGTACAAAATGAAAACTCCAAGTTGCTCCCTCCTGGGTGGGACTTAAGCACTGAACAAATCTAAGAGTTTGCAGAGGAGTTGGCTTTGTGCTAGCACAGAAAGCCAGTGGTGAAACTGATTTAAAAAAAAATAATCAAGAAACTAAAGGCAGTAACTTCTGGTGAAACTTTCTCTGCTCTGCAAAGATTGGCTGTGCAAAGGACAAATGGTGCATTCACACTTTATTCTCATTTCTGAAGTCCAAGCGTTAACTTCTGTGAGGAACATTATTTCTAAAATCGTATTATTTTTAGACATCCATGATAAACAACTCTCCTTGAGAATTAATCACAATAAACATATTATCTGATTGGAAGACTGATTTTAAAAATGTATTTTGTTGAATAAATTCATATGAACAAAGGTGGCATGAGGAATATCCCCTTCTCTAACAACGAAGTACCCTGATTATCACAAGGTAGAAAGCAAGGTAGATAAGAGCTCAATATCTCAGATTTTCCTTCCAGTGCAGGGTATTCAAGATTATTACAGCTAATTGATATAAAGTAATAGCTGTAATTTGTCTTGTTGGAAAGAGATGTGGTATGCTTGAGCAGCCTTTAGTCCTCTTGCTTAACATTTTTTTTTCATGCATGAACAATTAATGCTGTATGAATTTGTTTCAACCAAACCCCAGAGTCGCAGTCTGCTGAATGAAAGTCGGTGACAGTCAAATGTGTTTCTAGTTCTTGAAGGCCAAAATACTTCTCTTGATCATCACATTCCCTAAGGAGGGAAGGAATGTGAATGTGTAAGCATGCAAAAGAAATTAACCTCTCTTGTTGAATGTGTCCTGAAGGCTAATCAACAGTATATCATGCAAGTTGCATGTCAGGAATTAGTTGTATATCAAAAAATGACCAAGATTAAAATAGTTTGCCATTAACTTCAACACACTGAACAATTGACTCAGAATTTTCTCTGTTACCAAAACTGAAATAATTTTCTGCCCAAATTAACAACTGGCGCCTACCCCAGGTTGTTTTTTGTTTGGGTGGTTGTGGGGTTTTTTTGTTTTGTTTTGGGGTTTTTGTTTGTTTGTTTTTTGTTTGTTTTGTTTTGTTTTGTTTGTTTTGGTTGCGTTTTTTTTTCTTTTTAAAGTGGTGGATGCTTTGCTTGTCTAAAAATTGATCCTATTAATAGTTAAACATTCCTATAACAGATTCTCTTCTGCAATGGTGTACAGTGTGTGTGCTCAATTTCTGGAAGATATTGTATAGTCTGTTTCAGCAGTCCTGGAGTTAGTGGATATTGTCCCAATCATTCCCAATCATTTGAGCGTCAGGTGGTATTTAAGTGGAGATGGGTTTGGCATCTCTGAAACGAGAGAGAGGCAGCAGATAATAGAAGAACTTAACTTCACCACTGGTCCATCTGTGTTTATCCTAGCAGCCACGAGCTCCGTCCTGGCACCTTCTTGGAGCTGATCTCCAGTCCTGTCCCAAGACATGGAATAGTGTAGGTCTTCTTTGGGTGGTTTTGACCTCTTTTCAAGCCACTATATACAGTTACAAAGAGCAAATTTTGGTTAGGGGGCAGTAGAAGACTGAGAGCTGGAGACCTACTGTCTTGCTCCCTCTCCTGGTTGACCCAGTGTTTCCCCAAATAATTTTTCTTGGTTTTACTCGGGACAATTTTCTTTGATGTTTTAAATGTGAGGCTTTTAGTTGGCAGTCTGTGACAGCCAGTGAATGACACAGTTTCACTGTAGCTAAATGTTGCCAATGTTGGCTTTCACTGCAAGCAAGCTGGTGTTCTTTTTTAAACTTGTGATAGTATGTTCATGTCAAATGATTTGTTGTGCCAAATTATCAAGGCAACTCTTAAAACACTCCTGGTCACAATGAAATCTGAAAGGCATGTTAGTAAAGCATGTGTTTCGAGAAATCCATGGAATATTTTCTGTGCTTTTCTTGGAATTCTTCCGCAAAATGTTTCAGTCTTGAGTGAGAAGGAAGAAAATCAGGAGCCCTATTGAAGAAAAGAGAGAAGGAAGTCAGAATGATGAAGCAGGCAAGGAGAGATCCTGGGGGAAGGCAGGTATACTCATTAATTGTATTTACATTTCAAAGTCGAATTATCTGCAGTGTTCTCAATCATACCCTACACTTATATTCCCTGCCACACACCATGAATAATAAATGCATTTGGAGGATAGAGTAAGTGACCAAATAGGCTTCTTCCTCTTTTAATTTTGTGGATGATCTTAATTTGAGAGGTCAGTACAAATGCCTATGGTATGTGACAATTTTAGGCCGGTAGTTACTAATTAAGACAGAAAGCCAGATGCTGGCTAAGACATTTTCAAATACATCACAAATAAACTTGCAGGAGCTGATTAACTCAAACGGAATGTCTCCTTAGGTGATAGCTACCAATTATACTTGGAACAATTCTTAAAATTAAAAAGGATGAGGGAAAAGGATTTATGAAACTCTTGGCTGAGTTTTCTCTGGAGAAAGAATTTTGATAAAAAGTGGGGTTAGCTGTTTGACAATTAGCAGACAATTAGAAGAAGGACATTTACCCAGTGGGCAAAAATCTTTTATGATAGGCTCACACTCATCAAACCTGTTTATGCTGAAGGAGGATAAACAGTGTTTCACTCACAGTGTTTTAGCCCTAGTGATATGAGCAGCACTGGCTGCTGCTGCTGTGCCAACTTCATGTGGGCTGTGTGGGACTCAATTTGACAGTGCTTCACGTGGCAAGCACAGAACAGAGGACGCCAAGCTGGGCTCATGGATCCTGGGGTGGCTACGGACAGTTTTTGCAGAATTCCACAAAAGAAGTTAGGAACAACACAGCAACAGCCTGTGCAGAAAACTGAGAAATCTCAAGCACTGAGGAATTTTTTGGGATCTCCAAATCAGAAAAAAAAGTGGGAAAACATTGATTTTATTTATATTAGTATCTGTAAAGGGGAACATTGCTGGTAGACCAGAGACAGTGTCAGACATTGGAAGCTTTTCTGAAAGTGTCCCTTGG